GTCCTCACGCTGTCAATATTAATATATATGCCTAACTAGCCTCTCCGGATAACTCGTCACTGAGCCCTTTTCCCTTGGAGTGACGAGTTATCAGGAGTTTGACTGTGAAGATCGCTATATAAATGCACGTTGCTGTTGTTACTAAACAAATGTTTCACCCACAAAATGCACAGTCGCTACACTTTACAGTGTATCCTGTATCCTTTATAATAATAATCCTTGCATTTGATATAGAGCTTTTCACGTCTTCCAGACGTCTCAAAGCGCTTCACAGAATATATTGTAAAGTGAATTGACTGTATATTTGTGGGTGAAACGCGGCAGTCAATTGGGTACATCCGTGTCCCACAAACAGTCGTGTATTGAAGTGATCAATCTTATTATTGTTTTTTTTGAGGGATTATTATCAAGTGTGTGAAGTAAGGAAACTTGACCAAGGTTTCACCCTGCCGGGAATTGAACCCAGGTCTCTTGCTTGCCAGTGCTCTAACCATTGAGCTACAGAACCCCCTTACTTTGAGACTTTGAGACATCTCGATGACGTGATAAGACGCTATATCAAATTACAAGGATTATTATTATTACATGTTTGTGATAAGAAGCTGAGGGAACTCAGATCACTTTTAATCTCACTAGAATGAACGTCAAGCCCTCAAGTCACTAGGACTATCCCACAATTTAAGGCTTCAGCTTGACTATCAATACAAATTTACATTTGAACAGTGCCTCTCTCACGTCAGCCTGATGTCCCAAGGCGCTGGACCATTCAAGGTTTGCACCCGAGCTGAGGATGGGGGTTGGGGTTGAGGGGGGGAATAGATGGACGAAACCACCAAAGAGGAAGGTCCTGAGGTGGATCTTGAAGGAGGTGAGGGAAGGGACTGATTGTGGGACGCTGTTGTGCACAATTGGCTGCCGCGTTTCGTCCACAATATATGCAGCCACTACACTTTACAGTATGTTCTCGGAAGTGCTTTGACATATCTTGAAGACGAGATGAGGCGTTATATCAAATGCAAGGATTATTATTATTATGTTATTGAGGGACGAGTCAAAGGAACTCCAGAAAGAGGGGACAGAAAGGCTGAGGGCCAGACCACCAATGGTCAACTTGCATTTATATAGCGCTCTTCATGCTTCCCGGAGCGCTTCACAGTGGCATAGTCTGACAATGAACCGAGAGGAGAGGGAGGTGACCGTAAGCACAATCAAAAAGGAAGCTCTTTGGCGGGATTTGAAGGTGGGGAGGGAGGAACTGGCCTGCTTACAAGCCAGGTTGGGTGTTGTCTCATCAACATTGCCCATTCTTTCCATGTTAGCGATCAACAAGTTTCACAGGAATATCAGGACTGCCTGATGACAGAGCAGAGAAGCATTAGTCGATTGGCGGATCGCTTTCCTAAAAGAAAATACTACTAATAATACTAATAATAATTTGGCCACTCAATCCATGATTTTTTTGTGGGACAGTGCTGCGTGCAATTGGCTGCCGTGTTTCTCCCACGAAATACCGTCAGTCAAGGATTATTATTATTATAAGTGCTGGGGCGTGGTGGGGGGTGGAAAAGAATCCTGCTGAGACACATTAATAAGACGAAAGCGATTGCGTTTGATGCAGATTCTTATCATGTCCTCAGTTTGAACGAGTTTCAAAGCTGAGGTGTAACGCATGTCTCTGCGCTCTCTCTGTCTCTCTCTCTCTCTCTCTGTAACAGTGCCATTTGGGCACCCTTAAAGTATCCCTCCAGCTGCTTTTCCCTCCTTGCTTGGCAACGCTGTCATGAAGCACTTTGAGACGTTCATCCTGTGTTAACACCAGTTATTGTGCTCAGCTGCTGAGGGAACTCACCTTTCCATAATAACAATAGCAGTGGGAGCTCGGGCACTGTCATTTACTCAGGCGTAACGTATACAAACAACAACCTCCGGCGAGACCAAAACACATCAAAGAGAGTTACAGGTGATTGCTGGCAAGTGTAACAACAACAACTTGCATATATAGAGCATCCTTACATGGGGCAGAGTCTCGGAGCAGTGGCGGAGCCTGACACTGAGCTGGGGGAGGGAGGATATGGAAGATCTTCAATCATGATCTGAAAGAGCAGAAGGAGGGCACAAGACGGAGGGATTGAGGGAGAGCTTTGGGGTGTCGGAGCGGAAGGATGGCCACCTCCAATGGTGGATCGGAGGACACGAGGGATGTGCGGGAAGCCAGAACCAGCCGAGCGGAGGCTGTGTTAGAATATACACTTTTTGTATACTGCTAGAATCATAATAGATGTTGTGAATGGGTTAACTTTAAGTTAAGTGTGGGGGACAACTGGACTGACAGTCATGGGAAGTTGCTTAAACTAGAGGACCTTGGTACCATCCCGGGATACTGATAAGAAATAACCAGTCACTTAAAAGGAATGTACTAATGATCCCACACCACAAAATAATGAGCACCAGATACAGCCCTAAACTGATCAATCCTCTATCTTAGACAATTAAGGACAATGTATGTGTGTGTAAGGCACGTACACCCCATAAAGTGTTCACGTGAACCCAGCATGATTTCGACCAAGTGATCTAATGTCCGCACCATTATTGGACGAACATCGGTATAAGAATTCCGATAACTTTGTGTACGGGGCCGTCCCGGGTCGCGGAGACAAGGATAAGAGAGATGGAGCCGTCCCGGGTCGTGGAGACAAGGATACGGGAGATGGGGCCATCCCGGGCTGCGAAGACAAGGGTACGGAGATGGAAGACTGAGAGGTGGAAACACTAAGACTGAGGATATCAGATGGAAGATTGAAAGCTATAAGCAAGAAGACTGAAAGCATGAAGAATCAAGCTTGTGTGCTGTAAAGACACAGTGTTGAACTCTTGAACTCGAGATATCTATAGTGGTGTTATTCTGTTATAAGATCTGTTGATTGTACCGGCCTTTGGTCTGACCCATCGGGATACTGGGGAATAACGAACGAATAATAATAAAACAGTCTGATATCTGGTTAGAGGAATTAGCGTTATTTCCTTACAGATTTGGCCGATTTTATTTTCTTACAGCCGTGGGCAATGGAGTGAGGAGGGAAGACGTCAGAAAGATAGGACGATGGAAGTGTACTTACCTGTTGGGAAATGCAGTGGCCAATTTGCACTACAGAACAATCGCTACACTGACACCTCCCTACTTTTCTGACCTTATCGCACCCCGCTCCACTGCGCTGGCTCTGGCCTCCTGCGCATCTCCACATCCAGCCAAGAAGTAAACAAACAACAGACCCCATAGGACGACGCAATTTACAAATGAATTGCGCACGGCAGTGTCCCACAAACAGTCGTGGGCCTGTATCATTGAGACTGAGTGACCAAATTATTTTTATTTATTTTGAATGGATTTTTCATACAGTCTCAATGACATCATAATTCCAGGGCACTACCCCACATGAAGGACGCTATATAAAATGCAAGTTGTTGTTGTTGTAGTAAGGTGCTAAATCAAATGCATGGATTATTATCATCATCATCATCTAGCTTTGAGACATCTCAACGATGTGATTTTGTGGACAAAACGCAGCACCCAATTGCACACAGCAGTGTCCCACAAACAGTCGTGGATTGAGTAACCACATTTTTTTTGGATGGGATTATTACCCCAGCAGAGCGATTCGCCAATTGACTAACAACCGGGTTCCAATTTACCCGGCGAACAGCCAATTGAGGCGAGGGCGCTAACCAATTCATTGCAAGACTCCACAGCAATCCTCGTCTTATACATCCTGGAATTAGACAAACAGAGTGCACCCCTCCAGGGAGAAAGAGTGCACATTTCATTCCAGAGACGAGGACATTTCTAGGTGGAGATGGCTTACACATGGCTTACAGATGCCAACTCTCAGTCTGGATAACATTAAGCATGGAGATGGGATTCGGCACGTGGCAGACACCCACCCGGCTGACTTTTTTTAAATTTAAAAACAGCGACTTTCACGTCAGAAAGACATCTCAAAGCTCTTCACAGGATATATTATAAAGTGTAGTGACTGTGTTATGTAGCAAAACGTGGGAGATTGTGCCGCTATGGAAATAGTGGATGCAGGGGCTATATGTGGAGATTGGGCTTTCTGATAATATGCCAAGCTTGGTGTTCATCTGTGATTAAATTCACACGACTGAAAAGGCAGAGGGGGAGTTTTAAGAATAATTATGATGGCGCGTGATCTGCTCAAAAAGCAGCTTCCCTCGCCCTGAAGATTCCTGGAAAGTTGGACTTGCTCAAAGACCTACAATAATACATTATATGCGGCAAAGTTTTACCCATTGATGCTCAGCTCATTTAATAAGTTACTTTAGTTGAGTAATAAATCAAAGCGCCTTTCAAATCAGGAGGATATTTCAAAGCGCTTCACAAGATTTACTATGGAGCGAGCATTCTGTACATTTCCAGGCGAACTCGGCAGCCAATTTGCGCAGAGCAAGGACTTTGCCAAGACACCGCTGTGTGCAATTGGTCGCTGCGGTTGCAGGCTCAATGGACCACCACCAATGACAACTTGCATTTATAATAAAAATTAATAAAACTTGCATTTGATACAGCACCTTATCACATCGTTGAGACGTCTCAAAGCGCTTCACAGATTATATAGTAAAGTGGATTGACTGTGTATTTTGTGGGCGAAACTGGGCAGCCTAGTGGGCATAGCAGTGGTGGATTGACTGACCAATTTTTTTTTGGAGCAATTATTACCCCTGGAAAACGAGCCATCGATTAACTAACAACCGGGTTCCAAATTACTGCTAGGTAAACACGTGGAGTGAGGAAACTTGCCTGATGTTTCACCTCGGCCAGGAATCGAACCCAGGTCCTCTCGCTTGCGAGACAAGGGCACTAACCATCGCGCTACATGATTCCGTGAAGGGCATTTATATAGCACCTTCACCGGACGCGGGATAGCATGTTGGAGCCCTTCACTGGAACTCCTGGTTGTAGGCAAGATGGATTAATATTAACAATGTCTATCGATGGGTTGCCATGCAGATGCCTTCTTTCCATGAGCGATGTGCACAACTTCATCCAGTCCTGTATGATCGCGGTGGGGACAAAGCCAAACCACGCCAAGGACCTGGCAGATGTGCTGGTGGACGGTGACAACAAAGGTCACCTCAGCCACGGACTGAACAGACTAGGTAGGTTGATCGGTGACTAAGAATCCTTTACAGTATCTCCCTGTGCTACGATCGCCATTAACGCAAAGCGTTCGATTTGCTTTCTCCGCCTTTTGCAAACCCCTCCTGCTCACTTTCTTCCTCCTCACCTCGTCTCCTGGCAGTGGAGGGAATGTGGGTGTCTCCAAACCCATACCACAAAGAACGTTGACATTCTCCAGATCATTTTCCCTTCCTTCTCCATCTTCCAGTTGCGCCTGAAGACCTTCCTCTCCGACCGTGCTTACGGTCTCCTTCCCACCCCCCCCACCCTTCGCCTTACCCTCCACCCCCGCTTTGGTGTTGTGTTCTGCCACTGATAAGCACTCCGGGGCACTACCCTGTGTGAGAGGCGCTGTGTTGTTGTTGAGTGCCTGTGCTGGAACAAAGCCAGTCATTCTTAAAAGATATACTCTCTACAACCTTTTGATTTCGTGCTCACTCCCGCCAACGCTTGCATTTCAGACATGTACGTGAACGATATCAAGTCAGGGATATGTGCCAAAGAGGGAGAGCCGGTCATCTCAAAGTCAACAGTGGCCACGACCCTGGTGGATGGCAAGAACCTGCTGGGGCCGGTGGTGGGCAACTTCTGCATGAAGCTGGCCATCTCGAAAGCCAAGGATGTGGGCATAGGCTGGGTGGTTGCCCACGGTGAGTGTCGAGATTTATCCTAAAAAAATGAGTTATATTTGGCCACTTGTTCCCTCCCCCCCCCCCATCTCCTCGTACCCCAACTCCCTCGAGATCAATTGACCACCCACCCTCTCCCCACTCTGCCCACTCGTACTGCCAGACTGATCAACAACCGCTAGATGGTCTCCCTAATGTTCCCAGCTCTCACTGCCCACAACTCGGCTCAAAAACTGAACGTACGTTCTGGTTGCAGGCTCCAACCATTTCGGGGTGGCCAGCTATTACTCTATGCAGGCTCTGAACCACAAATTCATCGTAAGTACAACAGCTTAGCACCCATCCACCCGCAACTCTATTCCGTGCGTTGACGCGTCTTTCTTGCCGCTCGGAGACTCATTCCTTTGTTTCGTCTATTGCTCTCGAAAGGGGATGAGTTACACAAACACCTCTCCGTTGGTCGTGGCAACCAGGGCAAAAGAGGTAACACGTTCTGTCTTATAATGCAACAGAAAAGTCTCTCTTCGTCGAGTTTTGGTTCGTCCGCTCCCGTACCAGCTCCGTGAACCCCCCACCCCAACCTTGCCCGGCTTCACTGGCTCCCCATCCCTCAGAGGTTCAGGGTTAAAAATCCTCGTCCTCACTTTTAAAGCCCTCCACTGCTGCGCTCCTCCCTACCTCTGCGACCAGGTTCATATGTAAACACCACATCAACCTGTCCACTCCCCCCGCTCAGCGGGCACTGACCTGCTTCATGGTCCCTTACCTTCCCTGCTCCACCGTGGTGGTCAGACCTTCAGCTTTTCTGTCCCCAGCCTCTGGAACTCCATTCAGGAATGAATCGCTCTGCCTTGCCCCCTCCTTTGCCTCCTTCAAGGCCCCTCTCAAGACCTTCCTCTTTGATTGCCCTTTCAGCCACCCTCCGCTCCTCTCAATTCCAACCCCAACTCCTAACTGTCCAGCGCCTTCGGAAGTCCTCCCGACATGAAAGGCGCTGCTGTTGTTGTAATTTTGTTGTTGCTGTTGTGCATTGCCACATTTACCCGCTGTCTGTTGCTCACGGCAAGTGTACTCTCGGGACCAATCCTATCAGTGTTGCTGCCCCGGCCAAGGACAAGAACAACTTTGTTCTGGATATGGCAACATCAGCCGTTGCTTTGGGAAAGGTGAGTGAAGAGGGAAAGACAAACATGGTGGGGGAAGGAAAGAGAGAGGGACGTTGCTTAAATTTAACTGAAATAAATCAAACACCAGGTCAAACTGCTCGCGTCAGAAATTAGTCAATAACAGGTCAATAATACTAATAATAATATTAACAATAATCCTTGCATTTGATATTGCATTTGATATAGCGCCTTATCACGTCTTCTAGACCTCTCGATGGCAAGACAGGAGCTCGCGCTGTTTTTCTTTTTCTTTGTCAGTGACATATAAAATAATATTGTTTACCCACCTTGGCAACAATACAAGAACATTTTGCAAAACTCAGGCCACGCCTGTCACAGATACAGTTGCCGTATAATTATAAAATGTGCCGTGAGCTGTGCGGTTGTTTGTTTGTTATCATGTCACGCAGTTCACAGGTTTATAGGCTCCAACTCTAGTCTGCACCGAGCTTACCGTATATTCTGCGAAGCGCTTTAAGGCATGTCAACGCCCAAAAAGGCGCTGGATCAAATGCAAGGATTATTATTATTATTAATTGTTCTGATGCCCCTTTGCCGCTAGGTGGAGCTCCAGCACAGACGAGGGGAAAAGATGCCCTTGGGCTGGGGGAGCAATGCTGAAGGGAAAGCAAGCAATGATCCCGCCGAGATCCTGAATGGTGGGGGGCTCCTACCCATCGGGGGGCTGGAGACTACAGGTAAGAAGCGACTTCTACAAGCAGGTCTTAGCTACGACGCACAAAAAATTAAACAGGCTCTTCGCTGGTCTTTTTGGTCTAATCTTTTTTCTCTCATGCCAATTTTCTCCTTTCCTCTCTTGAAGGAGTTTATGACTCCCCCATCCTCCCCCACCCATCCACTTGGACACTATCCCAAATCAATCACATTCCCAGTTTGGGACGCTAAGAATCAACATGGAGCAGTCCCAGGTGCAGAATAGTCCCGTAAGTCAAGTCCTTGGAGCACTCGCCTGGCAAGCGAGAGGACGCGGGTTCGATTCCCGGGCAGGGTGAAACGTTAGGCAAGTTTCCTTACTCCACACGCCTCAGTTTACCCAGCAGTAAGTAGGAACCCAGTTGTTAGCCGATTGGCAGATCACGTTTCTGGGGGTAATAATTCCTTCAAAAAAAAGTCGCTCAATCCACGACTGTTTGGCTGCTGCGTTTCGCCAATATACAGTCGGTTCACTTTACAGTCTATTCTGTGAAGTGCTTTGAGACGTCGAGAAGATGTGAAAAGCACTATATCCAATGCAAGGATTATTATTATTATTATTATTATAAATCAGTATACTATTATTATAGATATTATAGGTCTTGAGATCAGCCATGTTCTTATTAAAGGGTGGGGCAGGCTCAAGGGGCCAAATGGCCTACTCCTGCTCCTATTTATTATGTTCTTATGTAACTAGGTTGAAGCTGTCTAAATCCATCAATCATAGCAGGAGAGTTAGACTAGATCGCTAACCCTCCCTTCCCTCCCCTCACCCATGACCATTTCCCCCCTGCTCGGGTCATGACCCAACTGTGCAGCGCCTTGGGACGTCCTCCTGACGTGAAAGGCGCTTTATAAATGGAATCTTGTTGTTGTTGTTGTTACCAAAATAATCAGTTACTGAAGGGCAAAGGCCAAGGTGTTGGTGTATAAGCTTCTTCTATACTTTGCCATGACACAACCTTGCGTGAGGGGCGCTATATAATCGCAAATTGTTGTTGTTGCCATCCACTGAATCCACGCTCTTCCTGTTTTGCTACAAGTGTATGTTTGTGTTCATTCTGTGCCTTTGCCCTTGCACGTGAGATTGTAAGGACAGCCACCTTGTGGTGAAAACCTTCCAACTCAATTTGTTCTGATCAAGTGAAGATCGCAAGAGCGATTGGGATGAACGAGGAAGGCCCTTCGGTCCATCCGATCTGGGAATCCTTCCAGAATTTCCATTCATCTGCAAAATTAGGATTTGTTTTGTAACCTCTCCTAAACCACAAGCGAAAGACCTGGGTTCGATTCCTGGCGGGGCGAAACCTTGGGTAAGTTTCCTTACGCCACATGCTTTATAAAAATCCCTCAAGAAAAACTAAAATAATAATGTGGTCGCTTCAATCCACAACTGTTTGTGGGACGCTGCTGTGTGCAATTGGCTGCTGCGTTTCGCCCACAAATATACAGTCAATTCACTTTACAGTATATTCTGTGAAGTGCTTTATCACGTTGTTGATGTCTCAATGACCTGATAAGGCGCTATATCAAATGCAAGGAATATTATTAATCCTAAAACCATGCCGTGCATAATACCCGGAACCAGATTTCAGGGCCCTGGACGATGGGACCAGAATTCAGCTCGAGAGAGTCCACAATGAAGTCCGTTTGCTGCTCCTCCCAGAAAATGAACTGTTAAAACAACAAATTGCATTCATATAGCGCCCATCAAGCAGGGTTGTATCCCAGAGCTCTTGACTGTAGGGGAACATGACTCTGAGCTGGGGGAGGAAGGAGCAAGGCAGGGGGTGGTGGTGGGGGGAGGGGGGGGGGAAATAGAGGAAGAGTTTTCCAGGATTTCGGGGTGTAGTGGCTGAAAGCGCGGCCACCGTTGGTGGAACGGAAGGCACGAGGAATCGAGAAAAAAAATAATTGAGAATAAAAACGAGATCGGGGTGAAACTCATTTACCAGTTGACTTTCACCCTCCAAAAAGGGTATTTAACTGTGCACCATCAGACAAGAACTACAGTAAAACTCGCACAAGTCTGATCTGTGTAAATCATATAATCTCCTAAGTCATACATCTGGCCAGGTTCATGTTCAAGAGTTTATATTCTCTGCAGGTTTGACATAACTCATTACTTTGCACAAGTTATATCAAATGTATTATATAGCACCCCTCACGCAGGGTGGCATCTTTGGAACACGCTTCCTCTATCCCCTCCCCGCCTTGCCCTTCCTTCCGCATATTCAGGTTGTGCCTGAAGACCTTAACCTCCCCCCTCCCCCAACTCAGAGTCAACCTTAAATGGCCTTTACTGGGTGCACTTGTAAGTGACCAGTTACTTCCCATTTGCATTGGTTTTGCAGGTGGTTATAAAGGCTATGGGCTGGCAATGATGGTCGAGGTCTTTTGTGGCATCCTGTCGGGATCACATTACAGCAAACACATCCGAGCTTGGAAGTCCCAGACCGGTCAAATTGCGGACCTGGTAAGTGGCTCCTGTGACGGGCATCAGAACCGAGTACAAACGAGTACAGCATTGTAGTTCTTTGCATTTGGGTGAATTTCTGGAGTCCTGTAGCTTGGTGGTTCGAGTACTTGCCTCGCAAGCGAGAGGACCTGGGTTCGATTCCCGGCAGGGCGAAATGGTAAGGGCAAGTTTCCTTATTCAACACGCTTCTGTTCGCCTAGCAGTAAGTAGGAACCTGATTGTTAGTTGATTGGCGGGTCGTTTTTCCAGAGATAATAATCCCTTCAAAAAAAAATGTGGTCACTCAATCCATGACTGTTTGTGGGACACTGCTGTGCACAATTGGCTGCCGCGTTTTGCCCACGAAATACAGTCAATTCACTTTACAGTATATTCTGTGATGCGCTTTGTGACCTCTCGAAGATGCTATAAGGCGCCATATAAAATGCAAGGATTATTATTATTTGTATGGAAGCATAAAGGGCAGATTCCCCCCCCGCCCATTACTAGCACCACTTTATCAAATCTTTCATAAATTTGAACACCTTTATCAAGTCCCCCTCTCAGTCATCTCCTCCCCAGAGAGAAAAACTCTAACCTGTCCAGTCTCTGAGATTTGTACCCACTTGTCCTTGGTAACAGCCGTTGTTCCACATGAAGGGAGAACATTTTATTACATATGACAGTTGAAGGGGAATCCATAATAGCATTTAAATCGAAATGGGATAAATACTTGTAAAGTAACATTGAACGGGAGGGGTATTGGAGCAAATAGCTCAAGTGGGAAGGCAAGCTTTGGAATGGCTCGGTTTTAAACTTCTACATAATTCTACATTATTAATAACGACTTTTAGAATTCAACCTGCAATGAACGGTATCACACATCAGTGCCAGCTCTCTGACTTGTATAGTATTATGTTTCTATCTCAGGGGCAGTGTTTTGTAGCCATAGATCCGGGGTGCTTTGCCTCAGGGTTCGAGGAGAGAATGGCCGATTTGCTCAACATTCATAGAAACCTGGAGCCGGTAAGTATCGTTAATTAACTTTCAGTGCACAGGGAAAATATGGCGATGTTTCAGGTCCCCAGTTATAAAGCTCCACCAAATGAACCAGTGAAACCGGACTGCATTTGTGGAATCCCATAGCGTAATGCTCAGAGCATTCGCCTCGCAAGCGAGAGGACCCTGGTTCGATTCACGGGCAGGGCAAAACATTGGGCAAGTTTCCTTACTCCACATGCCTCTGTTTACCCTAAGTAGGAACCTGGTTGTTAGTCGATTTACAGATCGCTTGCGGATTGCAGATTCGGGGGTAATAATCCCCCCCAGAAAAAAAATTGTCATTCATTCCATGGATATTTGTGGGACAATACTATGCACAATTGGCTGCTGCATTTCACCCACAAAATACACAGTAAATCCACTTTACGGTTACAGTGTATTCTGTGAAGCGCTTTGAGACGTCTCGAAGACGTGATAAGGCGCTATATCAAATGCAAGGATTATTATTATATCCTGTGAAGCGCTTTGAGCTGACGAGATAAGGCTCTACCGTATATCAAACACAAGGATTATTATTACTTATACAGGGTAAAAATGGTTTAGAAAAACACTAGCTACTGTACAATTGAAACGGTACTGAATTACTGATCCACAGTGAAGAGCCATAATGATAGATTGATATTCTCTTGGAGTCTAAATGATGTACATGTCTCCCTGCTGTGTCCTCAACAGTCTGTACCAGGGCAGGCCGTGTTGACTGCTGGAGACCCAGAAAGAGAACACATGGCAAAGTGTTCAAAGTACGGAGGAATCCCCTATCCCATTAATGTCATAAACTTCATGGTAAGTCTCCAACAATACCAGTTTACGTTCCTCTAACTAGCTTGGATTCTGGAGAACATGGGTGGTTTGGCAGACTAGGGCGACATTAGTGACCCCAAAACGCGTATGGTTGGAGGAGAGGGGGGGGGAGTAGGGTCCTGTTGGAATTAAACCAGCAAAATTGGAATTAAACCAGCATAATTACTAGTAAGCTTCTTCCCCGCACCCCCCACACCCCGATTCCACTCTCTTTGAGGATGACAGGAACAAGCACATAAGAAACTCCCTTCTTGTTTTCCAATAGCATTGTGAGATCTTTTAACATCTACCTGAAGAACTGGGGACTTTTCCAGTTCTTGTCTGAAGGAGTTAATTGAACAGAATGTCATGTTGGACACAGCGTCACAATATATAAAAAAAATTGGTCACTCAATCCACGGCTGCTTGTGGTGACGCTGCTGTGCGCAAATGGCCGCCACGTTTCTGCCACAAAATATACAGTCAATCCACTTCACAGTATATCCTGTGATGCACTTTGAGACGTCTCAAGGACGTAATAAGGCGCTATCAAATGCCAGGATTGTTATTATTATTTATTTCGAAAACTTGCTTCGAATATTTCGGTTTCTTTCTCCCGAGACTCACTGACAAACCCTGTTGCTTTTGCAGAACTCCATGGCGAAGGAGCTCGGGGTAACCCTGCTTCGCACCGATCGCACCGTCAAGCCTTAAGACCTCGTCCCCGTGAGAGCCTGACGTCCATTTGTTTTTGCAACAGGGAAACGGCAAGATGTTACAGACTCACATTTTCATACAACATTAAAAAAAAATCAATCAATCTGTTCAGGTCATTAAACTTCTGTGTTTTCACAGATCTCAGGATGAACAGTTCGAATGTTTCAAACTCCACTCAGGGATCATTGCTGCACTTTTTGCTACTAGAGTGTGTTATGTTTGTAGATTTAACACGTATAGATTATAGCTCTTTCAAGGTGTGTGTTAAGGTAGCCACGTTAGTTATATTCTGGGATAAGGCGCAGCGGAGAGTAAAATGTTTCTAAAACATTGAATACAAGCTTTTGCTCAGAACGTTTGTCTGCAGATTTCTTTCCTGATCACCAGGGTATAGGTACTTGCCCCTGGAAGTTTAGAAAGCGTTGTCTCACACTGTGACATAAAACAACAACAACTTGCATTTACGTGGCCCTCCCCCCTCATGCAGGGTAGGGTCCCAGAGCACTTGACAATGTCGCGGCACGACTCCAAGCCGGGCGGATGGGGCTGGTGTGACTTTAGGCACGGTAGAAGAGGAAGGTCTTCAGACACGACCTGTAGCTCAGTGGTTAGAGCACTCTCTTTGCAAGCGAGAGACCTGAGTTCAATTCCAGTCAGAGGGCGAAACCTTGGGCAAGTTTCCTTACTCCACACAGAGCCTAATAATAATCCCTCCAAAACCTAAAACAATAATAAATTGGTCATTTTCAATCTACGACTGTTTGTGGGACATTGCTGTGCGCAATTGGCTGCCGGGGTCGCCCACAAATATACAGTCAATTCACTTTACAGTGTGTTCTGTGAAGCGCTTTGGGACGTCCTCCCGACGTGAAAAGCGCTACATCAAATGCAAGGATTATTATTATTATAAGATCGGGAAGGATGGGGCAAGGTGGAGAGATTGAGGGAGAGAGTTCCAGAGTTTCGGGATATAGTGACTGAATGCACAGCCACCGAGGAACAAGCAGCAATGGATAGTGGGCGCCCCAGAGCCAGTGCAGAAGAAAGCAACCAGGCTACCCCCTCCCCCCTCCACTGTTGGACGGGTGAACTCTTGAGAAATGAGTCCTGTAGCTCAATGGTCAGAGCACTTGCCTCGCAAACGAGAGGATCCGGGTTCGATTCCCAGCAGGGCAAAACGTACTGTTTACTTAGCAGTAAGTAGGAACCCGGTTGTTAATCAATTCGCTTTTCCGAGGGTTATAATTGATTCAAGTTTTTTTAAAAAGCAATTTGGGTCACTCAGTCCACGGCTGTTTGTGGGGCGCTGCTGTGCACAATTAGCTGCCGTGTTTTGCCCACAAAATATAGTCACTTCACTTTACAGTGTATTCTGTGAAGCGCTTTAAGATGTCTCGAAGACGTGATAATTGCATTAGTATTATTATTATAGCAAAGAGCCCGAGAAGTCGGGGCTCTTTTTTGCCTCGAAAAGAAACGTCCCCCAAGAAAATCTATACAGAGGATATCAAACAGGAGATCCAGAACAATATAGTACATTCAGAATATGGCACAGCTCCAGGTATGTGAAGGGCAATTTAAGGACAGACAAAAATAAAATAACTTCTCGACAACAAAAAATAAACCATAGCTGTTAGGGGGCGAGAGAGGCAAGTCAAGATTTACTTCTGGATTAGCCGTGTAGTTCCCACTTTTGCCTTCAGGTGCAACAGGAGGACAAGCGAAGACTATCATCCAATGCGGGGATTTTTACAAGCGAGGCCATCGCTTTGACCCGTTTTAGAAAGTTTTCAGCTCAAAAATCTCTAATCCTACAAATAAGTAACGTCCATGAACTTAGACCTTGGCTTGTGGGTTTCACAATGTCAACTGCTGGTTAAGATTGCACTGTACTCTGGGTTGGTGGGGGGGGGGGTGGCTATGTGTGTGTGTATTAGGTGTATGTGTCTCTCTCACACACACACACACACCAGCAGCAGAAGTAAATAAGTTCCAGTCTGTCCATCAGCGCATTGGGAGCCAATGTACGTTGGGTTGGGTTGGGTTGTGGCTGCTGGGATTTGGCACCGAGTCAATAAAGGATTGACCCAAGGATTTAGAGGACAAAAAAAAACTGGGATCTGAGGATCACTCGCCTTCCTTTCCCTTTACAAAGCCCCCAGTTACTTGGAGTCGGACAGGGACAGGACAGGGACAGGACAGGACAGGGACAGGGACAGGGACAGGACAGGACAGGGACAGGACAGGGTGTGGATTCCACCATGTGGGGATTTTCACGCACCGTCTACAGGGGACTGAGATACCTGAGCCCCAATAGTGGTCACCAGATCACACTGCGAGCCAAGGTCTGGTCCAAACCCCCAGAGCACAGCCTCTCGATGATGGTCAGTAAAATCACACACACACACACTAACACACACACTAACACACAAACACACACACACACACACACTAACACACACACTAACACACACACACTAACACACACACTAACACACTAACACATACACTAACACACACACTAACACACACACTAACACACACACTAACACACACACACTAACACACTAACACACACACTAACACACACACAACACATAACACACACACACTAACACACACACACTAACACACACACACACACTAACACACTAACACACACACTAACACACACTAACCAGACACTCACACAAACCGATTGGGCTCCAACCTCAAAGCAAGTGAACAGACAACGAGATTGTATTTCTTTAGAGAGTTGAGTTGCAAAGGGAGAAAGATTTGTTTAAAATAAAACACACAGTGGGGACACTCACTACTGACTTTTTTTAAAAAAAGAAATATAAATTGTATCTATATTTTATATATATTATATGATATCGTTTATTTGCGATATCATACGGTGCAAATGTGGGGGTTTTTTTTTCAACACCGAAGAACATTTTCTGTTTTTCACACAAACACCACCACCACCGCCGGAGTGTCCGAAAATACTGCGTTCGATCCAACAGATCCCATAAGAATTATTGCGGTGAAATAACTTTTAACGAGTTTCAAACCCATTTTATAAATGTAGACTGTGTGTGTGGGGGGGGGGGGGGGGTCAGACTGTGTGTGGGTGGGGGGGTCCAGGCTGTGTGTGGGGGGGGGGGTCCAGACTGTGTGTGGGTGGGGGGGGGTCCAGGCTGTGTGTGTGGGGGGGGGTCCAGGCTGTGTGTGTGGGGGGGGTCCAGGCTGTGTGTGTGGGGGGGGGGTCAGACTGTGTGTGTGGGTGGGGGTCCAGACTGTGTGTGGGTGGGGGGGTGTCAGACTGTGTGTGGGTGGGGGGGGGGGGGGTCCAGACTGTGTGTGGGTGGGTGGGGGGGTCAGACTGTGTGTGGGTGGGGGGGTGTCAGACTGTGTGTGGGTGGGGGGGTGTCAGACTGTGTGTGGGTGGGGGGGGGTCAGACTGTGTGTGGGTGGGTGGGGGGGGTGTCAGACTGTGTGTGGGTGGGTGGGGGGGGTGTCAGACTGTGTGTGGGTGGGTGGGGGGGGGGGTCAGACTGTGTGTGGGTGGGGGGGGGTCAGACTGTGTGTGGGTGGGGGGGGTCCAGACTGTGTGTGGGTGGGGGGGGGGGTGGCAGGCTGTGTGTGGGTGGGGGGGGGAGGGGGGGGGTCAGACTGTGTGTGGGTGGGGGGGGGGGTCAGACTGTGTGTGGGTGGGGGGGGGGGGTCCAGACTGTGTGTGGGTGGGGGGGGTGGCAGGCTGTGTGTGTGTGTGTGGGGGGGGTCAGACTGTGTGTGGGTGGGGGGGGGGGGGGTCCAGACTGTGTGTGGGTGGGGGGGGGGTGGCAGGCTGTGTGTGTGTGGGGGGGGGGGTGGGGGGGGGGTCAGACTGTGTGTGGGTGGGGGGGGTCAGACTGTGTGTGGGTGGGGGGGGGGTCAGACTGTGTGTGGGTGGGGGGGGGTCAGACTGTGTGTGGGTGGGGGGGGGGTCGCAGGCTGTGTGTGTGTGGGTGGGGGGGGTCCAGACTGTGTGTGGGTGGGGGGGGTCAGACTGTGTGTGGGTGGGGGGGGGGTGGCAGGCTGTGTGGGTGGGGGGGGTCAGACTGTGTGTGTGTGGGTGGGGGGGGTGTCAGACTGTGTGTGTGTGGGTGGGAGGGGTGTCAGACTGTGTGTGTGTGGGTGGGAGGGGTGTCAGACTGTGTGTGTGTGTGTGTGTGGGGGGGTGTCAGACTGTGTGTGTGTGGGTGGGGGGAGGGTGGCAGGCTGTGTGGGTGGGGGGTGGCAGACTGTGTGTGGGTGGGTGTCAGACTGTGTGTGGGTGGGTGTCAGACTGTGTGTGGGTGGGTGTCAGACTGTGTGTGGGTGGGTGTCAGACTGTGTGTGGGTGGGTGTCAGACTCTGTGTGGGTGGGTGTCAGACTCTGTGTGGGTGGGTGTCAGACTCTGTGTGGGTGGGTGTCAGACTCTGTGTGGGTGGGTGTCAGACTCTGTGTGGGTGGGTGTCAGACTCTGTGTGGGGGGTGTCAGACTGTGTGTGGGTGGGTGTCAGACTGTGTGTGGGTGGGTGTCAGACTCTGTGTGGGTGGGTGTCAGACTCTGTGTGGGTGGGTGTCAGACTCTGTGTGGGTGGGTGTCAGACTCTGTGTGGGTGGGTGTCAGACTGTGTGTGGGTGGGTGTCAGACTGTGTGTGGGTGGGTGTCAGACTGTGTGTGGGTGGGTGTCAGACTGTGTGTGGGTGGGTGTCAGACTGTGTGTGGGTGGGGTGTCAGACTGTGTGTGGGTGGGTGTCAGACTGTGTGTGGGTGGGGGGGGGGTGTCAGACTGTGTGTGGGTGGGGGGGGGGGTGTCAGACTGTGTGTGGGTGGGGGGGGGTGTCAGACTGTGTGTGGGTGGGGGGGGGGGGGTGGCAGGCTGTGTGTGTGTGGGTGGGGGGGGTCCAGACTGTGTGTGGGTGGGTGTCAGACTGTGTGTGGGTGGGTGTCAGACTGTGTGTGGGTGGGTGTCAGACTGTGTGTGGGTGGGGGGGGTGTCAGACTGTGTGTGGGTGGGGTGGGGGTGTCAGACTGTGTGTGGGTGGGGGGGGGTGTCAGACTGTGTGTGGGTGGGGGGGGGGGGGGGGTGGCAGGCTGTGTGTGTGTGGGTGGGGGGGGGTCCAGACTGTGTGTGGGTGGGTGTCAGACTGTGTGTGGGTGGGGTGGGGGTGTCAGACTGTGTATTGGTGGGGGGGGGTGTCAGACTGTGTGTGGGTGGGGGGGGGGGTGTCAGACTGTGTGTATATGTGTGTGTTCAACACCACTGAAAAGCTGAGAGTTACAGTTCTCCATAAAAGGACAAAAACACAGCGAACGACTGAAGGTTCAGAGGTTTAAAGGGAATCGTTGTGATTCGCTTCTCCATCAGCTGCAGATTAAAGGGGTTCAAGAAGTTCAAGAAGGTGGAGTCCTGTAGCTCAGTGGTTAGAGCACTCGCTTTGCAAGTGAGAGACCTGAGTTCAATCCCAGGCAGAGGGTGAAACCTTGGGCAAGTTTCCTTACTCCACACAGAGCCTAATAATAATCCCTCCAAAACCAAAAACAATAATAAATTGGTCATTTTCAATCTACGACTGTTTGTGGGACATTGCTGTGCGCAATTGGCTGCTGCGTTCACCCACAAATATACAGTCAATTCACTTTACAGTGTGTTCTGTGAAGCGCTTTGGGACGTCCTCCTGACGTGAAAAGCGCTTTATCAAATGCAAAGATTATTATAATTATTATTAAGTTTAGTGCAGCCCCTAAAACCTTAAAAACGTGCCCCCCCCCAAAAAAAACATAAACACCTACCAAATGTACACCCTGTTTCCAAACCAACCTAAAGTTGCCTGTCTTACCCCAATAGGTCTTGGATTAATAGATTAGTATTAACAAATCAATTCCCCCCACCAGCCAAATTCTTCTGCTTTCTGTGGTATTATTTTACCAATTGCTTTGTACCCTTTGTGGGCATTCTTTTTTGTTGTGCTGTAAGTAGTGATGGGTGGTGGGGGGATGGGGGGGAACAGCTTTGAAAAAAAATTAAACCTGCAAAACGCCCCCCAAACCCCCCACTTGAAGACCTTTTCTTAGTTTCAAAAACACTGAACTAACCTAAATTGGCCACTCTGCTGCTACCACCACCCCCTCCCTCACCCCACATACAGTAACTGTAGGCAATGCATAATATTGGGCTACTTTGGGGTTATTAATTTGATGGATTTTCGGCTACAAGTGCTTTTTAATGTCTGGCAGTGAGCGACGGACAACTTCTTTCAATGTGAGGATTCTTAAGGGGTTAGACCTCCACCTGGAGCCGTAACAGAAAAGCCACGTCAGGTCTCTGTGGTAGACTCAGTGATCCCTTAGCCAACCCTTGCATAACTTCGAAGTCCTGTTAATGAGTAACCAGGCTACCCAACTCTTGATGACTAGAGAAGGAAGAATCAGTAAACTCCACTATGTGATGGGAATCCACTCACTCAGGTCCTGATAACTCTACAAGTCAATGCCTTAGAACAGGGTGCAGATAAAAATGGTCCAGCTAACAGTATGAAATCTTACCATTGGCTTCCAACCAGCAATTTATAATCCTTGCATCTGATAATACAGCCTTGTCACATCATCAAATCAGAGGATTTACTATAAAGTGCAGCAAATAGATATTTTGCTGCCAACATGCACACAGCAATGTCCCACAAAACAACAACAACCCAAATTGTATTCCTATATAACACCGTTCATGTCAGGAGGACATCCGAAGGCACTGGACAATGGAGCCGAGCTGGGGTTGGAGTTGGGAAGGGTGGGGGTTTGGAGAGTCAAAGAGGAAGGTCTTGAGACCTAATCAGGCTAAAAGCGCTAAAAGCCTGATTGCCATGAAACAGCCATGAAGTGCAGACTGCCAGGCATTAACTAGTTACTACATTGCTGCAATACCCATTATCCAATGTAAAGGGCACTTAATGCCATATACATAAGTTGCGGTGGTTGGCTAACAGTAAAATTATAACGGAGAAAATGACAAAGTTACTCACATGTATCACTGATACGTTGAACTCCTGATAACTCAATCCTGGCTTAATTTGTCACTACCTTTAAGTCATCGCGCGGTCAATATCCTGGCCGCATTGAGCCCTTTTCCCTTGGAGCGACGAGTTATCGGGAAGTGACTATATAATGCACCCCTGTTTGGTTTTCTATTGCAGGACCTCACCATTGCGTTCTTTGTGCTGAACATTGCAATGCTGGTGCCCAGCGGCTGGGTGCTCACTAACATGGAGAATTACAAGCACCGACCCGGCTCCAAGTGAGGCTTCCTTTAAAGCCCACCTCATCTCCTTCTCACTGATAACGTAAAAGAAACCACAGACGTTCAACCAAAGAGGACTTGTTGCCAGGTTCCTGGAATGTAGCCATTAAAAATATACATCAAACCTGATGCGTTCAGATGTGCTTCTCTGTTTCTGGCCAATTGGCGCAAAACACACTCTTGACTTGCAAAGTCATTGGCATAATATGAAAATTACCGATATGCATCAACAACAACAACTAGAGTTTATAGCACCCTGATGCAGTAAACTCCTGATAACTCAACCCTGGCTTAACTTGTCACGAACACTTAAGTCATCAGGCAGACAAAACAAGCGGTGCAAACAAAATCCGCCCCACCGCCCAAGATATCGACAACAGGTCCTATGATATTTTGCTAGACTGAATAAGTACGGGTGTTACTTATCTCCTTCTCACGGATTACGCAAAAGAAACCACACACGCTCCTTCACTGACTAATAATAATTTATCAGTAGTCATAATTATAATAAATTATTATTACTGTAAATAATAAATTAGATTACCCAGTTTACTGAATTCCCTCTCCAAAAGTTGTGCTATAAACCCCAATTTCATCCCGCCAAGAGTAATCCAGACGTGTCAGAATACTTGACGTCCTACCCTGCTTGCCTTGGTTCCATTGTACTAAGCATTAAGGATACATTTCGGTTCCACCGCTTTGCTCGATTACTCTTTGCACTGTAACTCACAACGATAGCGAAGGGCAAAAAACCACACCAGTTACTGAGCAAGGGAACTCTCAGGATAAAGACACTCACACGACACATACACACATAGCATTGAACTGGGCTCGTCGGAGAGATGTTAAGAGATCTGACAAGTTTATACACATGTGTATAATATATATACACACACACACAGTAAAACTCGCACAAGTCTTATATCTTCATAAATCATATAATTGCCTAAGTCATACATGCACCTGATTCCATTCAGTTTCCTACCAAAAACGTTTAGATTTTTTTTGAACTAGTCGTATTTGATAAATCAGAAAACTCCTACTAAATCGTCATGGTTTCTTGGTCCCAAATACATGATATCAATCCTATTAAATCATCTCCGTACTCGCACCGCTACCACACTTACCGACAGCATTGAAGTACCCATGAGCAGTGTAGATTATTGATTAAATCAGATATGATACGACTTATGGCTGTATACTTCACGTAAGTCATATCAAATGTTATGGTCTTGAGTTTTACTGTATATATAAATTGAATGGGTAATAAAGAGTGGAGTCTTACTTTACATCGAGCCAGATTGTTATGATTTTAAGCGGGGATTGAGGCAGATTCCTTTTTAGAAAAGTTACAAATATTAAGAGCTTATACATAGCATTTGTATCTACAGTCTCCTCGTTCATTTTGAGAATCAAACACAGAAAGGTAAATGGAAGTTTTACTGCGCTCAAAGTAGTTGCAATCAGCCCATACACAAAATATCCAAACTTATAAGGGTTCAAACATTTGGTGGTAATCAGTTCTAGCTTTCACACCAAAAACCAAAGCTTGTCATATGAAACCAGTCTGTCATGGCTTTAACTTGTTATCCAACAAAAACAAATCAGCGAGTTTAAATACCATCAAACCATCTGCGATTGAATAAAGTAACACTGACAATGAGACACATTGTGAGCTGTTGAACGATAGTTCAACCAAGAGATCTGTGCTACTTTGGGTAACACAGCAGCTGTTGCGATGGGGGTTTAAAGCAAGCGAATGGGTTTCAATCCAACTCATTGCCATGACATGATCAGCCAACAGCAGGTGGCGAGGACTTAGTTGCCAGCAGTTTGAGCAGCAACGCGCCCTCGAGCTGCTCGCAGTTGAAGGGAACCACATGATACGCTCTGACCTCATGTCTATTCTTAACTTGAGTTAGGAGCAGTGAGACACCATTTTAGAGATTTGGCATTACCCAATATCAAGCGCTCTGGCACGCTACTCTGCGTGAGGGCGGGGAGGGGCTAGATAAATGCAAGTTGTTGTTGTTCCTGCTGGCAAAATTAAGAGTGAAAAAAGTACCTTGATTTTCCTTCTTTCGGAGTCGGTCTTAGTTGCCCACGCACTGAGGCTGATCGTGTGGCCAGGATGGTGCTAACATTGCACTCAGCAAGTTGACCAGTGGAGTATATCATTGGCATAATTTCCCCAGGGTCTTGCTTCAGTAGCTTAGACCTGAATGACGCTGTAACCCTCTGCATCACTCCTCTGCTTTTCCAAAGATCCTTCCAAAAGTTTCTAACAAGTGAGGTTTACAGTTCACAGTAAATAATGGGAACTCAAATTCATTCCCAATACGCCCATTGCAGATCTGGATTCCAATGCACAGACACAGAGAAAGACAAGAAACAAGGCTTCCCCTTATGCTTTGATCCAACTCGAGTGCTAAATTTTCCAACCATCGCAAGGTATCCAATGCAATCAGTGACTGTTCAGGGAGTTTCAGGTTCACCACATGTGGTTTTTAAACCACTGCCACCTGGGTTCAAATCAAGGTCCTGATGAACTGTGTCATCTATAAAGTTAAATTGGAGAAGTTCTATAATCTCTGAGCACAAAGCTGTCAATAATTTGGATTCTCATTCGGTTTACTGGACTTGTGGAGTCCTGTAGAGTAGTGGTTAGAGCACTCACCTCGCAAGCAAGAGAACCCGGATTCAATTCCTGGGTGGGGTGATACCTTAGGCAAGTTTCCTTTCCAACACGTCCCTGTTTATCCAGTAGTAAGTAGGAACCCAGTTATTAGTCGATTGTCAGATCACTTTCTGGGAGTAATAATCCCCCCCAAAATGTGATCACTTACTCTCCATGACGGTTTGTGGGACACTGCTGTGCGCAATCGGCTACCACGTTTCACCCACAAAATACACAGTCAATCAACTTTTCAATCTATTTCTGTGAAGCGCTTTGAGACGTCTCAACGATGCAACAAGGCTCTATATCGAATGCAAGGTTCATTATCATTTATAACTCTCCTCTGAGTCTACCGAGGATAAACAAAGCATTTCCAATAAAACATACGGTATTTCCAATCAAGAATCTACCACTTTAAAACACTTAAAAGTTTATTTTTTTTGACAACTTTTATTTCGCCCTCCCTCCTCCAAGGAGACTTAAGCCCAAATATTCTTGCTGAAATCTACCACAGCCCATGTTTACCGTTTTCAGAACCAGCAAATTGCATCAAACCGAGCAAAAAAAAACCCCACATTTTTTTGAAAGTCGTGAGAGTTTGCTGTCGCTTGAGCTCAGGTGATTTTAACCGAGTCTCGGCTGATTTGTTACTGCAATGAGAGAGAGTGTATTGCTTCTAATCCTTGCACTGGCTGGCAAGAGCCAAGGAAAGATTTGCTCTCCTTTTAAGGCTAGAGAAGTGGTGGAAACACAATACATTTTTTTAAAAATCTTATCGTTCGTAATTAAAATTCCAGCACTCAGTAAGTGGAAAAAATGAATTTCGAGCTCACTGGTGATTTGCTGAAAACTGTTTTAGATTGGGAAAAAAATCTGACTTGGGAGATGTCTCTCTCTCGCTCGCTCTCTCTCTCTTAAACCATGCCCCAGTTTACTGAATTGCAATGAGGGAAAAAAGTCTGTCAACCCCAAATCAACCGGTTACAACAATCCTAACAGTCAGCGACCGCTTCCAAATACTTTGTGATCACTCCCGAGTCACACATTATTTACATTGAAATGTAAATTCTAAAAAAAATGCCATCTCCTGCATTTGCCCACAAAATATAGTCACCCCATTTTACAGTATACCCTGTGTAGTGTTTGGAGTCATCTCAATGTGATAAAGAGCTTTACAATAATAATAATCCTCGATTTTGATATAGTGCGCACACCTTATCGAGACGTTTCAAAGCGCTCCACAGAATATATTGTAAAGCGAATTGACAGCGTATTTTGTGGGCGAAACGAGGCAGCCAATTGCACCCAGCGGCGTCCCCACAAACAGTTGCGGATCGAGTGATTCAATTATTGTTTTTGAAGGCAAATTATTATTAGCAAATTATTATTTAAGATGACACACAGAATTGTGGAAGATTCTTAAAATTCCTATCAAGTCAAGGATTATTATCTGACGAGTTCTCAATGGTGGAATGGGCGGCATTACAACTGAGGAAAGTGAGTGTTTGGAACTTTTTATTTTGTGTCCTTTTCTTGCTAGTTTGTACGAAGAGCTACAAATCCTGAGAATGCAAACATCCAAAGCTGGTATTATTGGTTGTGTAATATGAAACGTACATAAAAATGATATGTTTTTCTCCCCCCCACCACCACCCACCCACCCCTCTAGTTCTTTAAAATCAAGTAGAGCTTGTTTCTCAAAGTTCACTGACTGAAAGTTGCACTACTGTATATTTTATATATAAAAAGACCACACAGTAGGTTATTTTTATACGTTTAGAACCATCTTTTAGGTTAGAACGTCGTGGGCTTGATGTTCCACGAGCAGGGCCATATTTTTCACATCTTCGCACCAGTAGTCCAATCGTTCCTTCATCCCTTTAATCTGAAAGCGTCAAGAGAAGACTCATGTTAGATATCAGGGAACCACCACTGACAGCATCAATGCGAAGCAAGGATTCACAGGGAATGAAAGTCTCCAAACAGCGGCCGCTCAAATAAACACAAGAGGCAGGAGCGATATTTACTGCGGTTTTAACATCAAAGTATATATTTTTATTTCCAGGTGCACGAAAGGCTTTGTGCGCTTGGTTTCCTTTTCAATTCAATCAATAATCACCCGGTTCTGTGGCTCGTTCCTCTTGACTTTTTGAACACGCGCGACAGCGACACTTAGCGTCAATTGAATGGGTGGAGATCCCCGACCTCGAGGCAATAGTGGCAAACGAGAGGACAGCACAGGCGAGCCTGACCTCTGGCCACCCAGCCTCCAACCAAAGATGCGGTCGAAAGGAAAGGTCTTCAACTAAGACCTGAAAATAGGAAGGGAGGGGGCGAGGCGAAGGGAGTGAGGAAGGGAGTTCCAGAGCCTCGGGGCATAGTGGCTGAAGGCATGGCCGCTGATGGTGGAGCAGAGGACTCAGGGGAGGAGGCCAGACCCGCAAGGGTCAGTGATACCGTAAGGGTGTTCTCAGCCGGCGTTTACCTGCTGCAGGTCCAGGACTCGGGGTTGCACCCATGTCATGTGCACCCGTTGATCTACCTCATCGATCCTTCCCTTCACCAAGCCCACCGACAGAGCCTTCATCACCAAGAGCTCCACCTGACAGCAAACAATCAGCATAATGTTCTTCATTTGATAAGATTACAGCATATTCTGTGAAACGCTTTGAGACGTCTCGAAGACGTGATGAGGTGCGGTATCAAATGCAAGGATTATAAACATTATTAATGTCTCAAAGCGCTTCAGATAAATTATTGTGAAATGGAGTGACCGTGTATCTCTTGGCAAATGCGGCAACACAATTTCGCACAGTGATTTAATAGCAATCAAATAATATTCCTTGCAATTCTTTCAAACAACAACAGTAAGAAATTACATTTACACAGCGTCTTTCACGTCGGGAGGATGTCCCAGGGAGCTGGACGGTCAGGGATTTGCAGCTGAGCTGGGGGTTGGGATCAGGAGGGGTGGAGGGCAGGGAGGGTGGGGGTAGGAGGGTGACCGAAGGCGTCACAGTCGAAGAGGAAAGTTTCAACTTATGTTCTGGAATATAAGTACGAGTCTGTAAAAGACTTACACAAAAGAGCACTGTCCAGCCAGTTTCTTACACATTTACACACACACACACACATACAGTGCTCTTGAATTGAGGGACCTCACCTCATTGATAGGAACTTTGGCCACCTGAGAAATCTCCTGAAAGGTTAGCTGCCGATGGTTGGCTGGACGGGTAAACGTCATCTAAGTGAAAAATCAAATGTGCAAGTCTGTGTGAGCCACGAGAACGTAAGTTACTTGTAAGGAGACCTTACCAAAAAACATTCCAAGTTCTAAATCCACTCCCACCCCCCACCCCACCGGTTATTGATTAAAACTAGCAGGCGTTTAGTTAAATTCTGGTGAATTAAAAGGTTTTAAATGTAATTCTGACAACTTCTGTTCCGAGCTTAAATCCCTAAAAGGAGGGGGGGATTGAGCATCTCAGCATTTGGAATGATTGGAGTGATTGGGGCACACAGATGTAGCCGGAATCACGATGTGATGCTCGGAATGCCCCTTTCCCCTTCCACCTTTCCCCTTCCCATTCTCTCTCCTCACCCGCCCGGAGTGGAACAATGCACGAACCTCCATTAGACACAGCAGTTGGATCTTCTGCATCAGACGCAGCTCGTTGGCTCGGAGGTCTGGCTGGAACACAGTCAAAACCAAAACAGTCTTAAGTCCCGTGCCGAGAACGGGGATAGAAACACACAAAAACGGTCAATCAAGGCTTTAAAGAGCTGGGTTTGGGACGTCTTCCGATACGAAAGGCGCAATATAGATGTGATTTGTTGTTGTGGTTCCATCTTTAACATCCTCTGCCACATGGTACTCTCCTCACTGCCCCCTGACACAAGATTTCACTGTGGGCTGCTTGGAATGTTGGTTCGTGACTGTACTTAACACAACAAGTGCCGTCAGGGAAAATAAAGAGATGCTTGCTTAGTTCTGACGTTTCACTGACGCAGAAGAACTCGAGTGGTTCAGATCTAGGTTTATTGTAGCTTTAAGTCAGGTCTCCCTCAGGGGCTCCAGCAGAATACAGATAATTCCGCCCACAAAATACACAGTCAATTCACTTTACAGTATGTGAAGCGCTTTGAGACGTCTCAACGTTGTGGTAAGCTGCTATCATCAAATGTCAGGATTATTATTATTAATAATAGAAATCCTTTACATTTGATATAGCTCCTTATTACAACATTGAAACATTTCAAAGCGCTTCATTGAGTTTTCTGGAAAGTGTAGTGACTCTATTTTGTAGACACACTTGACAGCATGCGGCAACAACGACAACTTGGATTTACACAGCGCCCTTCGTGAAGTGAATGACTGATTAACAGTGGGATTGTTGGCCAGGGGTCTCTTTACAACAGGGCCACTGGATCTTTAATGTCCGTACGAGCAGTCAGATGGGACCTTGGTTTAATCTTTATCTGAAAGACCAGAGCCTCCAATAATGCAGGATTTCCCCTAATGTTTCACTGGACTATCAGCCATGAGCTCAAAATCCGCAAAACAGACTTGAACCCACAACCTTCTGACCCAGAGAAAGGAGCCTTTCCCGCTGAGTCAAGCTGACACACAACGCAGAAGGCAACAGGCCAAATGCTTTGGTCAACTTGGGTTTCCTTCTTGGGAGACTGCACCAAAGCCTGAATTGGATCAGATCACTCATGGAATGAATTTTCAAAGTCAAATCATTGCACAAAGCCCCGCTCCACTTTACACCGCAATGAGAAATTACCTGCTGTCCCCAAGAAGTCTTGAGAGCTTGAAATTTTTCCACGTTTCCGCTGTTGAATGCATACAACGTGTCTATCAACCACTGTTTGTCTGTGGTTCTCAGAGATTCCAGGACCGGATGCATCAGCTTAAGGAAGGAAAATCAACAATGGTTAGATTCCGAGGCTAAGGGCGAGGCTGCAGTTTTGTTTTTAAATCAAGAATTTTGAACCATTCAAACACTCACAAGTTCCCCGAAGTTGTAAACTCCTTCTCCTAAAAGCCCTGCTAGTCCAAGGGTGAAGGCTCTTTCTTGGTGTTCTGCAACTGGTTCAAAACACGAACGTGAGACTGAAGTTTTTCACCGTTTTTAATACAGAAGAGGTTACAGCAACATTTACAAAACGTGCTTCACGTAGGATAACATCTCGGGCGAGTGGTTTACGGGCTTGGCTGCCAAGCAAGGGTAGTGAAAGGCGTACTCGAAGAGGCAGGATTAGAGGTGGGACAGCAAACAGAAACAACAACTTGTATTTATATAGCGCCCTCACACAGGGCAATGTCTCAGAGAGCTTAAAAGCCAGAGGGGCGTGGTAGGGGCAATGAGATGGCGTGGTAGAATGTGATCCTCCAATCGACTAACAACTGGGTTCCTACTACTGCTAGGTAAACAGAGACTTGTGGATTAAGGAAACATTTTTTGAACCGTTTGCACTGTATATAATGGAATATTGGATCTGCAGTACTTATACATCGGAGGGGTTTACCTGGCAAGTCTTTAATATCAATGCAGCCCAAGAACCTTAAGGCATCCTTGTAGTAAGAAGCATGGTTTCCAACGATTTGATAGTATTTACTGGACAAATCATAAAAACGGCCATGAACAGAGGTCACTCCAGGAAGTTTAGTCAGCATCTCCTCTACATCTTCGACCGTTTTCTGTGAAGAGAATCACATAAATTCACCTTAATAGGATGGGCATTCTTCCTGGGTAGTCAAGCCAGGCCAATCCAAACCGGGACTAATATGCAACAAATACATTTGATGCAGCACCTTTCACGTTGGGAGGACATCACCATCATAAAGTAACGGGCACTCAATTTAAAGCTTCAACAAAGTTCTACGAAACGACAAAACTGTTTTCTTTTAAAACTGTATTTTGTTTTTGCAAACTTCTTGCCTATTTATTTCCTTCCTCATCATCCACGCTCCAGATTTCAACTGCTGTACGGAGACCACAGTGCCATTTAGTGGTTGAGATGGAGAACAGCATCAACATAACATAACATGTAGGAGCAGGAGTAGGTCATTCGGCCCTTCGAGCCTGCCCCGCCATTCAATCATGGCTGATCTTCTAATCTAACTCCAGCTAATAACCTAACCCTGCCTTATCCCCATATCCCTTAATCCTTTTTGCAATAAGAAATCTATCTCAGTCTTGAATATGTTCAAGGACTGAGCGTCAACAGCCCTTTGGGGTAGTGAGTTCCATACGTTCACCACCCTTTGAGTGAAGAAGTTCTTCCTAAACTCAGTGCGAAAGGGCTGCCTCTGATTTTAAGGTTGTGACCCCTGGTTTAGTTTCTCCAACCAGGGGAAACAATCTCCCACTATCTACTCTATTATGCCCTTTGATCGTATAGGTTTCTATAAGATCCCCTCTAATTCTTCTATAGTCTAGAGAATATAGGCCCAAATTGGTCAGCCTATCCTCGTAACTCATCCCCTTCATCCCCGGTACTAACCTAGTAAATCTACGATGCACCCCCTCCAAGGCAAGTAGATCCTTCCTTAAATAAGGAGACCAAAACTGCACACAGTATTCCAGGTGTGGTTCACCAGGGCCCTATACAGTTGCAGCAAGACTTCCCTACTCTTATACTCTAATCTAGGATATACTCTATCAAGGATAGCAACAGTAAAAATGTACTGTAATAATATATTAAACTTTACATTTGATACAGCGCCTTAGCACGTCTTTGAGATGTCTCAATGCACTTCACAGGATATACTGTAAAGTGAATTGACTGTATATTTTGTGGATGAAACTCGGCAGCGCACAGCAGTGTCCCACAAACTGTCGTGGATTGAGTGACCAAATCATATTATTTAAAGGGATTATTACTCCTGGAAAAGCGATCCGCCAATCGACTAACAACCAGGTTCCTACTTACTGGGGTAAACAGAGGCGTGTGAAAAAAGGAAACTTGCCCAACGTTTCGCCCTGCCGGGAATCGAACCCAGTCTCTTGCTTGTGAGGCGAGTGCTCTAACCACTAAGCACCATAACAGTATTTAACATTGATCCCATTATATAAAACATTTCCCCCTCAATGTGCAGCCTGTTGTTTTAAGAGAAATAAAGTTGATTCAAATGTGCTTTACCTTTGTGACTGGAAGGTCGCCTACGTTTAATTTTAAAGCACCGATTGCCGTTTTGCAGAGAATTACTGCCTCGTCGCTGGGTTTGACCTGAATGCAGGAGAGGACGAAAATGTTAAGAGGTATAACAGACAAATTCCAAGTCCGATAACAAAATACCACATTGTTGTAGAACTTAAAACGTGATTCACCTCTTCACTACTCGTCTCACATCACTGGTTTACAACAACAACACCGACCTTCATTTATTTTGCGCCTCTCACACTGGGCAGCGCTTAATTTGCTCCCCCAACACCTATCGTTAAGCAGCATTTCACAATCTGCGAACTGACCATTTATTTTTGCTCAGTTCTAATGAGGCACACCCGCACTAAACTCCGTACTCTCACCACCCCAGTCTTTGCCAGGCTCCACTGGCCCCCCATCGATTTCAAGATCTTCACGCTCGTTTTCAGATCCCTTCATACCCCGACACCTCCCTACCTCTGCGACCTGCTTACCCCCCCAGCCCACCACCCGCTGCCTCCGCTCGATTGGCTCCAGCCTTCTGCATGTCCCTCATACCCTCCGTTCCACCATTGGTGGCCGCACTTTCAGCCACTATGCCACGAAACCCTGGAACACTCTTCCTCTATCCCTCTGCCTTGCCCCTTCCCTCCCCATATTCAGGTCTTGCCTGAAGACTTTCCTCTTCAACTGTGCCTACTGTCACCTCCCCATCGGCTTGGCATCGTGCTGTACCACTGTCAAGCGCTCTGGGACGCTGCCTTGTGTGAGGGGCGCTACATAAATGTACGTTGTTGTTGGTTTATTCCCAAGACACCAAACTATTTAGTTCCATTTCACATCCTGATCGAAATGTCATTTCACAAATACATTCTCTTAAATTTTTTATTTCTAAAATACTGACCTTATCTTTGGTATCATCCAAAAACTTGACGGCCTGGTTCGGATCTAGAGGGAAATAAGATGAAAAACTGAACCTAGATACAAGCATTGGAGGAAAGAGCAATCGTAGAGTCAGCCCACTCATTGTATTCATGTTATTTATGTATTTTAATCATTAAATAATTTGCCGGATCCTCGGTATCATTCTGATTTAACTCCACTACAGGGGTTGACGGTGTCACACAAAGTGCAGGGGAAACACTCACCTGTCATCTGTCGAACCACATTTAGAACGATTTCCACAAGCGACAGAGGATTAACTCTGCAACAACATATGAAAAATGCTTCAGTAATAAGTTCAGGGAAAAGGCGGCGGGAAATCTCCCCTTTCCAAATACAACCCCATCCGCACCCGGGCCCCACAACACATTAACTTACACCAAAAATTGTCGTACAAAATTGCCCCATTGCAACATTTTGGGCCCGTGATATTTGACCCAGTGTGCTGATGAACCCCCAAACAAAACTGGCCGCCCGTGCCACTTCCGGATCGATCGTGAGGTCACGGCTGCCAGAAACGTACTGTACGTCCGTGGTAACCATGGGTTCATAGACAGCACGGGATAAGCAGATTTGCACTCTAGCAAGGTGTGTTCTAATGGAGCTGTCCTGTACTACTCATCCCCAATCATTAATTGTTGATCTCACACACGCACACAAACACAACAGTTTCCCACGTATTGCAATGGAAGTCCAATAAAGTTTCTTACCTGTGCTCAAATTCGCTAATAAAATTCTCGTACAACTGCAAAAATCAAAAGGAAAGTTGTCTCGGTCATACCACACCTTGGATTTACACAGCGCCCTTCATGCAGGGTAGTGTCCCGGAGCGCTTGACAGTACCGGAATCTGACCCCGAGCCAGGGGGAGAGATGGGGTGACCGTAAGCGCGATCAAAAAGGCAGGGCTTTAGGCGGGATTTGTAAGTGGGGAGGGAGGGGGTAAGGCGGAGGGATTGAGGGAGAGAGTTCCACAGAACTTTGGAGCTGAAGTCACGGCCACCGAGGGGACGAGGGGTAAACAGAAGCCTGGAGCCTCCAATGATGTTTTAAACAGGTATTAAAATTAAAAATATTACAACTGAAAAATACACTGCAAAAAAAAATACACCTAATCTCACTCACGTACCTTGATTAACCCATCGCCAGAGGCAAAACAGGGATTCTGTACAAAGTTCTGCACCCGCATTGTTAACTGATGCCAAAGCCTGTTTGAATAAATCCCAAAAATGTGAGTTTCCAATCATCGTCATCATTATAATAAGAATAATCCTTGCATTTGTTACAGTATCTATCACGTCAGGAGGACGTATCAAAGTGCTTCACAGGATCCACTTGTGAAGTGTAGTAACCATGTGTTTTGCAGACGAATGATGAAGAAAGTTTAAGAGCCCAGCAGCTCACTGATAACTAACCAAGAGACTGAAGTACTTGCACTGATTGGCAAGTTGGGAATCAAAAATACACAAGTCACTACACTTTACCGTAAACCCCTGTGAGAAATGTCAATATAAGGCGCTATATCGAATGCAAGGCTGAAAAAAATACATGATATCGTCACATTTAATAATAATTAATGATACTTGCATTTGGCATTGCTGGTGCCTTATCACGTCATCAAGGCACCTCAAAGCGTATCGCAGGAATTACTGTAAAGTGTAGTGATTGTGATTGTAGGAAGCGGACACAGCAGATAACAGATGCATGGCAATGTCCCACAAACAGCCTTGAAGTGAACGATCAGTTTTATCGGGGTTTGGGGAGGAATTTGCAAGGATATGGGGAAAGAGCGGGCGAGCGGGACAGATTGGGTCGCGCTTCTAAACAGCCGGCACAGGCACGATGACCTGAATGGCTTCCTTCTATGGTTCTATGAATTGTAGGCCAGGAAACCAGGAGAAACTCGTTTCTCTTTTTCCGAATGGTGCAACGGGGTCTTTTAACATCCGCCTGACGGGACTTTGCTTTTAAACGCTTCCCGTTTGTCAAAGCACCTTTGTAGGCGTTTCAAAATTCTTTCTGTTCCTGCAATAACAACAACAGTAATAATCTTCGCATTTCGCAAAGCGCCGAACCCGAACTTCTCAAAGCGTTCTACGGTGATTTGCGTTACGGATAGTGGCCGCGTGTTTGTGGGTGGACGGTGAAGCCAGTTAGGCTCACGGTGAGGTGAGGTTAAAATCGTTTACCAATGCAATAACCTAAGTCCCTCAGCCCACGACTGTTTGTGGGGACGCTGCTGTGTGCAATTGTCTGCTGCGTTTCGGCCACAAAATATACGGTCAATTCACTTTACAGTACCCACTGTGAAGCGTCTCGAAGACGTGATAAGGCGCTGTATCAAATGCAACGATTATTACTATTATTATTATGATGATGATGTCCATTTTGCAACTTGATAGTTAAATACTTATGAATAAAGTTCTAATGCAAAGCCACTGGTTACACTGTTCTGGGGACACAGTAGTTGAACATGAAATGATGACAGTGTTACAGTACAGTACAGAAATAGGCTGTAATCACTCCCCACGACCCTTAAAAGTTGTTCTCTCTCCCCACACCCCCCACTCAAAAAAAAACACGTGCTTAGACCTTTAGAAACAATATTTTTTTTCTAGGAGGAAGGAGTATTTAAAAAGCAACATGATCTGTGGATTAAAACTGTGGGTGGTGGCAGCCATCTGTCCTATTAACCAGAGAGAGGGAGGGAGGGGAGAGAGGGGGGGGGAGAGAGGGAGGAGAGGGAGGGGGGAGAGGAGGGAGGGGGAGAGGGAGGGGGAGAGAGAGAGGGTCTGGGAGGACTTTCATGAAAGGAGCAGAGGAGGAGAGAAGGGGGGGATGTTTCTGCTGTAAAGACAGACGAGGGGGGGGAGAGAGGGGGAGAGGAGAGGGGGGGGGGGGGGGGGGGAGAGGAGAGGGAGGGGGAGAGAAGAGGGGGGAGAGGAGAGGGGAGAGGAGAGGGGGGGAGAGGAGAGGGGGAGAGGAGAGGGGGGGAGGAGGAGGGGGGAGGAGGAGGGAGAGGAGAGGAGGGAAGAGGGGGGAGGGAGAGGGGGGGGGG